ACGCAGGGACGGTGGCGGCCTCCAGCGCTGGCGTGAGTCCGGATGAAGACATGACCCAGACGAGAGGCGGCGAGGAAAGACAGCAGAACTCGAAAATGGACGGGCGAGCCGAGATGCTGTTCGGCCGCCCGCCTGACCTTGTTCCTACACGCACACGTGCGTTACACAGCAATTCCGTGGCGGGTCAGCGCCAGCAAAAACCACTATCTATATATATATATATATACATACACGCAAATGTGCCTGCATGAATACATATGCAACGATGAAGAACTGCACTGAAGAGAGTATACACACAAATACGCACGTGCGCAGCTTCTGTCATGCCAGGTGCCCACTCGCACTGCAACTCTAGGTCTCGGATACAACGGAGGGCACCGTATGCAGCGTGTTAGACCAGCAGGGTGCTGGTGGTTTTTCGGTCTGCTTGAAACTAGTGTTCTCCCCCAAGGTAGAGGAGGGGAGCGACTACTCTCGCTCGAAGTGTGCAAGTCCTTCGTAACTGCGCTTCGTGACCCCTCAATGCTGGTTTCTCTCTTCAATGATCTTCATCCTGGGATGCAGTCTCGGAGCCTCTCGGCCAGGCAGCGTCATAAGCTTGGCGTTCAATTCTCCGGCAGCGGTTCCGGAATTCTCTGAAAAGGCTGTTGTGCAGTCGCGGTCACGGAACTCTGGTCGTGAGTTTTGGGGGTTGCCTAGTTGCACACATCCGTCAAGTCGATGAACAGATTGTGAATTCACGTTGGCATCCACAACGGATACTGCAAAGTTTCTAGTCTGCAGGGAGCTGAAGGAGGCACCCTTCATTCGGGAGTGACTTTGGGTTAAGAGAGCAAAGGAAGTCTCGCTAGAACTCGCTACAGAGGGAAAGCAGCATGAAGTCGCGAGTGGCTGCAACCGCAAGGGCAATGAAAAAGCTGCCGGCTCTTGGCGAAACTTTGGCAAAGTCGTGCAACTTTCTCTAGTCTCAAAGACCAGCTGCTCTCCAGACAGCAGGCCTTTCAAACAAATTGAACCCCTCAGCAGCCGTTACCTCACCGAGCCATGAGCCTTGTAGGATGCGTTCGGGCCTAATCTTCGGCCCGACCCTGCTCTGCATCTTGGACATCTAAGCCATCTTCGTGACGTTCATCGTATGCCGCGGGCAGCGCAGATGGAGCGCAGCAAGCCAGAAGCAAGAAAAGGTATGGCAAGCTGATCGCAGCCAGCGCACTCGCGTTTACCACGGCGACAAGGCCAACTAAATCGTCGGCTGAGGTCGTGTCCAGCGACTGCCATGTGTAGTAGAAGATGAACAGCAGCGAGAGAGTGCTGAGGATGGAGGCCGACAAGAAGTGAGAGCGGTCTGAAAGGCCAGTCAAACAAAGGCTCCAGGCAAGCAGGAACACAAAACCGACCAACCAGCCGATGCTCACTGCTGCTAAAGCTGAAGCCGCAGAGCTGCACCGCCCTTTCTCACGGAGTAGTATACGACAAACCAAGGAAGCAGTACCCAGACTGATGATGATCAGCGCCAAAAGGTACATGTGCTGATCAACAGCCAAGCTGGCGGAGCTCACCCCCCACAAGGAGCCCACGCACAGAGTCATCACTGCGAGGCAGATGTAGTTCCTTGGATACCTTGGCAGTGTCAAAGCGGTTTTTCGCCCAGTTTACGCCGAGGACCAAGAGAACATCCTCTTCTAGATACACAGCCATGTTCACCTTGCCGTGTTGCAGTGCGCACTTGACATCACCATTTTAACATGGTACCAGTAAATCCCGCAGAACTCGGACTCTGTAGCCAAATAGTTTAGAATGTCATGGACACGGTCATGGACACGGCCGGGTGTGACGGATGGGCTCGACAGAAAGGCATGTGAACCAGAATCTGTGTTCCTGGTCCTTACTATAGGGAAATTTAGTCTAGCACGGACGGGGTTCCAGCATTCTTGCTTCGAAACTGCCTTTGATGTTCCTTCCGCCAGCTGCACTCTCGCACAACAGTTTTGCGCTTCCAGCCACAGTTTCGGCATACGTCAGAGTTCGGGCACATACGGAATTTGGAGTCTATCACAAGCAAGTCGCTGGCTTCTGACGCTCCAGAGGAGCCACATGAGGAGCGTTGTGACTATGCAGAGGCTGTAGTACTCACCCAGCAGAAGTGCGGATCCACGCGTGGGAAGCGGTAGCACCTGCCATTCCGACTTGCAAAGGACAGTGATGCGCCCTGTACGACGCCACATGCATACTAAATCACCAAATTCGTAGCCTTAGCCAGTCGGGTCAGTACTTGCTGAGCTGAAAGAGCAGGCTGTAGTGCCAAAACACAATACTACTGAAGCAATCCTAAACATGCCACGGCGTGATGATGCACACCATGACACCGAAATCAGACTACCAACAGGCTGCTGACCTGCCATGCCCCATCACAGTGGAAGCTTGACTTTAAGAAATGTTGCAATAGCAGGCCTTAGCGATGCGGCGGCTGTCGCCCTCATCGACATCGGGCACCTCAGGCGGCACAAGACCCAAAGGACGACAAGACAGATGTCTACTATCTGCCTGCTGGGCAGCTCATCGACGGTAGCTGCTTTGAATAGCTATTGCCCTTTCTGTACTGTACCCTCCGATGGTAATACTGCCATAGCCAGGAGGCAATGCGAATGAGACCCCGACTACAACCTTTCGAAAGGTAGCGGGTGCTGTGTACTGGGACGACCGAAGCAGACTTGCCAGCCGGTGGAAAGTGCACGGAAAAATACTGGCCCCGCACAAAGCCCCCTTCGCCTGGCACGCGCCCGCGATCACCCGGGTCCAGCGTGAGGGGGGGAGAGTCACAGGCACGCTGGGGAGAGCCGAGGCGCCTGGTTCTTTACAGCGGCGTGGACCACGAGTGCTGTTACCAAGCACATGCTGAGCTGCAAAGCACAAAGAGCAAAGAGCTTCGCGAGAAAGTCGCGCTGAACGTACAGCCTTGGTAGCCGCAACTTGTACAAGCATGCAGCATGCGGCTGAAGCCCAACGAAGCTCATGACAAAGACCAGCTCAACGAATGCTTGCGCAAAAACCAACGATGAATTTTAACCCGCTCGAACCACCAACAGAGGCAGAACTTTCGGCCCGCGGCGGAAGTTTGCTCTCCAAAGCAGCGTGCCGCCCAAGAGCGCCTTCAATGGGCAGCTCCTGACAGGGAGCATCGGCGAAGTGCAAGAGGATGGCAGATTCTTCCCAAGTTAGAAGCATGGGACGTGCCAGCAGCAAAGGCAACACGTCAAGATAAAACTCGCAGCCTCCTGGCCTCATCCTGTGGCCTTCGTGTCGCTGCATGTGAAGCATCTTGGGACAGCTGCCTCGAGGTGCTCATGTCGTGTGAACGTGCGAGTATGGCAGGGCGCGCAGTCTAATCCGCCAAGGGTATGGTGTCGGAGTGCTGCAGGCAAGAGGCGGTTCCAGCATGTTGCCGACACAATTGCCAAGACTGGTGGAAAGTGTCACGAGAGCAAAAACTTGAGGGAAGTCGCACAAGTTGGCGGAACATGAAACATGTTGCAAGATCAGAAGCTTCCCGATACACCTGAAAAGCGAGAACCTATAGCAATGCTGCAGCAAATATACCGTACCTCCAGAATCGAGCACCCATGGGGATATAGAAAGACTAGATGCTTAGATTTGGGTGAGCAGGATTGCTTTGCAGGAATGCTCCCTCTATATCCCTCTGGCCGTGGCGCCTGCAAAACCGCACAACCTCGCACAACCCGATGCACCTGCGGACTCCTCGAACGACCCTTGCCCTTCAGCCGGCACTTTTCTCCTTCCGCTGCGTCACATGAAGCCACTCGGAATGTAGCTGGGGCCTACAGAGCCGGCCGGGATGTCAGCATCGTTTTGAGAGCAAAACCTTCCAGATGGTTCGTTGCCACGCATCGCTCATTCTGGTGATTCTGGTTGATTGGGGCCCGTCACGCAGAATGATGTCGTGTTGACCGCCCCGTTCGAGGCAGTTGCGGCGCATGCTCGGACTGGCCTCGACAGGGACGAGATTTCTCTGTCGACCTCAAATCGTAGGTGTAGCCGCTAGCAGACAGAGACACGGTCATTGGCCAGGCCAGGCCAGGCCAGGCCAGTCACGGCCAACAGCGGCCCCCCGCCAGTGCTCAGCTCATGTTTCAGAAAAGCTGACGCATGAAGCATCATGAAGCAGGACGAGCCGGGAGATAGCCCAGGTGCGAAGATGCCTCTTGCGAACATGCTGTGGACGGGCGCTCCAAGCCGCAAGGCTGCTCACATTATTTCACATTACACTCACATCCTGGAAACCACTAAGACTGCAAGCCATGTTCTGTCCGTCACAAGGCCTTCGACTACTGCAGAAGTGCTTCATCTGCATGCATGGCTCATCTTCGAAAACTCGGAACTCGGAAACAACAGGACTAGACTAGTGACTGGTGAGTTTGATATCATGCCTTCCAGAATACCTGGCAAACTGGGCAAGCAGCAAGGCGCAGCATATCACAGGAACAGTTATGGTGATGGAACTGCAGGGCCCCCTCCTGCCAATCCTTGTCGGCCGCGCATCCGACTTTCATCCTTACGCAGATGGCCACTGTCCAAATGCTTGGGGCAATATAAGAATGCCACCACAGCCACCACAACAACAAAGATGGGACGGCGACTCTTTGCCAATCACTGGGCATAACAGGTGCAGATCTTCGAATCTACACGCAAACTGGCCTGCTGCAGCTTACACCCAAACTGATTGTTTGGTTGCTTCTGTGCAACCTCTGCGCGTGGATGGCCTTCCTGATCCCTACCTCTTCGACGCCCTTATTCTCTTAAGGGATTTTCTCGAAGCTTCGAAAGCATTCGTCGCTCAGCCTCTTCGGCTATTGCCCGGAAAAGTCTCTGACCTGAGCTGCAGCTGTCGCCGCCCATCAACACAGTACCAAGTGCGTCAGAGTACTAAGTCGCCCGAAACACTGTGTAGCATGCTTTGCAGTCAAAATGCCGAGGTTCAGTGCAGCTCCCGCCGCAGTAACGACTCGCAGCTCCTACCAAGATCAAGCATCGGATCTAAGTATGACGCCAGTTCAAGGCAAGTCTTGCTGGCGCTACGTGCCCAATTAATGTCTGGTGCAACCCCTGCCACGCGTTGCCGCTGCGAGGCTCCTCGAGAGTGCAGTTCTTGTGGCATTGCATCACTTGCTTCTCCAGTTGGTGAGTAATACCCGGACCAAAGATTCCGAGGTTGGCCTCACTTCTCAAGGCGAGGAGATGTGAGAACAAGGAAGGGCCGGTCTCTGCCTCGGCCCCTAAGTCTCCACAACACCTTGCGGTCTGCAATCGCAATACATGCTCTTCAGCCGCAGCACTGCAGCCCAGGCAGATGATGTGACCTGCGACGAGCACAAGGCTTCTGGCAGACCCTTTGGCCGCATTCGGCAGCCCACATCGGCTTCAACCTGCAGGATGAAGAACGCCTGCACTTTCCCCCCTGGCCTCTGCTGCACTCAGAGGCCACTGTACTGCGCGGGCCAGCGCCTCTGCAGCGCGTGGGGTCCGGCAGCCTAGAGCGAAACGGGTACAGGCACCGAATCGGCAGTTGCCCTCTTCTTTGCATCAGGCAGTGATGCGAGACCATGAAGGAGGTGGACAGGGCATGGCTGCGAATGAGAAGAAGACCAGGACATGCGGTTTTGCCCAAGGCACCCAGCTTGGCTAAAGCCCATGGGAAAAAGGTCGGAGACCACAGCGAATTCATTGGATCAAGACCTCGTATACTGAGCAGCCTACGAGACACAAAACATTGAGAAAAAAACAGGCTGTGGCACAGTTTTGCGTGCTAGTAGCCTTGCCTTCAAGCCAAGAAGCACAGCAAGAGCCCCAGCACTTGCCGCCATGCATGGGCACCAGCCGCACAGATGAAGGACCCAAGGCCTCGAGGTTGGCTTAAATGGAGTACTTGATGGATGCTCATGGGGCCGGACTACGCGGATGCGCTTTCCAACAGTCGCCCAGGGCTGGGTACTGCGCAGGTAGAAGCCACCTCCCTCTGAGTGGTGAGAAACAGGTTTCAGTCCAAGAAGCTCATCTCATCGGGGGTCAGAGTGTCCTTGGACATGCAGAGAATCCACCGCAGCGACATTGGCCACTGCTCGCCCTTGGCACATGCAGCGACTCCAGCGTTGCAGCCTGAGACAGACATGAATCCATGAGCCGAAGACCGAAGACAATCGGAGAGCAAGCGAACAGCGAGTGGCCTTGGGCTCGAGGGCTCATCCTTCTGGAAGGCATCAGCCCCAACAGCCTGAGCTTTGATCGGAGATTTCCGAAGTTCCTCTGTTCACCTGCCGGGTGACTCGCAGGCTCCTTCCCACTGGAGCCCTTTCTCGAGAGCGCTCACTCCCCAATCGTGGTGAATCCTTGGGTTGAGGGCTTCTTGGAATCTCACTCCCCGCGTTTGCCTTGGCTCAGGCAAGGCTCGTCGCAGGCCGCAGGCCCGAGCGCTTTGCAGCTGTCAAAGCAGCCAGGGACCGTTGCCAGGTTTGGGTCTGCGCGGACATGACAACGGTCAGCCTGCGCATGGCCTGGAATGCACAGGTGCCCTGTCAGGCCACTGCACCCTACCCTCGGCGATGTGTCCAAAGCATTCCGAGGCACCACTCTCCAGCTATTCGCTTGGTCGGCTCTGCTGGCGGCAAGGCGGATCAAAAGATCGCAAGCCTCAACAAGGTACAAGCCGTACAAGCGCTCTCCCACAATGAATCCTCTGAAGACCGTGCCTCGATCCAGCGGGAAGCCTCCTCGCCATAAATGGCAAAGAGAAGACACTCAAGACTGCAGGCCCACAAGCCCCTCGGCAGGCGAAACAGAGCTGTGCGCACCCGCCTGCAGGCCCTCCGCACTGGCCGCGAACTCTTCAGCATGGCCCTGTGCCATCCCACTGCACGCCACACGACTCCCCCAACACCATACAAGGCAAGCCGCCGCACGAAACTCTAGCACTTGTAACCAAAGGCAGGGCGTTGATCGCAGCGTGCCTTATCACAACACAACACGACAACGCAGATGCTTTTCAATGTCACATCACAACACTGACATCTGAAGGTTGAAGAGCCGCTTCCCGAGGTAATTGCTCTAAAAGGTTACTATGTCTAATTTGCATACCTGATTCTGGCCCAGCTGCCCGGGTCGAAGGTAGAGAGCATCAGATGCGGTCTCAGGGCCTGGCTGCGGCACGTTGGAGAGCGAAACGCAGTCGGAAGATTTGGGCTGAGGTCCGAAGTCACAAGAGACGAGAGCGTGTGGGAGCTCGATTTTGCGCAAGCGCGCCCTAGCCGCCAGTCCGCCACATTGAAATAAAAAGGCTGGCTGGACTGCTTCAGAGTTTCTACTCTGTCAGCTGAAAATCTGCACCTGAAACGTATCCATCTTGGCAGATTCGGCATACTTGTCACCACTCCATCGAAATTATCGCCTTTAGCTTGTTCAAACCTGGCAAGACGTAGCGATTTCACACATCGCGATCCAGGCGAAGCATCTGCGAGCCCGCAGTGTTTCGCCCAGCCAGAGGGAGACTCGCAGCTCACCATCAGCGGCGCGGCGGAGGTTTGGGGGTGAAGAATTGCTTGAGCTTTCGTAAGGGTGCCTCCAACCTCGGCATATTTCCGACAAGGTAAGGAGCTCGAAGATCGAAACTGGTCAGAAAATGTAGAAAAAGGAGCAAGGTGACTTGGATTCTGCCGAGCGTCGCAAGCTCTTCATCCTCGATCCTCGTATTGCACTACATGCGATCTTGAACATCCGTTCATGTCGGCACATCAGCGTACGAGCTTGACTAGGGTTCCCGATAGCTCAAGCCAGGGCACGCTTTCTCCGTAACCCGCAGCTCTTCGCGAACGAATTTCTGGCAAGTAAGAACTTTTGGGCTTCAGCTTCCTTTGAGATATGCTGAGTTGAGGTTCTTCATCGATAGGATGCTCGATCTGGGCTACCGAAGTCTGACGCATAACATCCACACCTCCGTCATCTTCTCAAGTCGCTGGGCGGCTTGCGCAATCTCCTTCCTGGATGGGTCGTTGTGAGCCGTTTGTTCAACCGTGATATGTCTATTTCACAAGTTGCGAGTATAAGACTATCAGACAAACTGTCTGTAGCCCGTCTTGGCACATCGACAAACCCATGAACTGCTTTTTGGCTGGCTCCAGCTTTTTCCAAGCGTCTCTTCCATGTCCACCTTCGAGATTGTCTTCCGAGCAAGGCGTGTCAGCTGCCTGATTTCGAAAAGAGTAAAAGAAAACCCACGCATTTCGCATGCAGAATGTGGCGTGGCGGCCACTTTAGTGAGTCTGAGTCTTAGGTCTTAGGTCTCCTGAAACTCAGCTCAGGGACTCTTCCGCGCGCAGCTCTGCCTGCTCAATGAGCCGTTCAGCGTACTGCCTCGTGCTCAGTTGTAGGGGAACATCGAAGCAGGCTTCGACATGAAATCCACGACGACCGCGAAATCCAAGACAGGCTGTGAGTCACAGGTCCATTGCATGAGAGTTGCGTGCGAAGTTTGGCTGGGTCACCCTCAACAGGACAAGAGTTGTCTGTGGCCTGGCACTATGGCACGCATTGATTCGCATGCACAAAAGACTTGGCACAAAAGCAAAAGGGCACTGCACAAGACACTGATGCGAATGTCTGTAGTCTGCGCCTTCCAGAACTTGTCAAAGGGTACTTTTGCCTTTGCCGTTGCTTCCCTGACCCTCTCCATGATCCTTTGTGCGACCGGCAGTCGACAGCATTCTGAATGTTAAGCCACATCGGAGAAACCGGACACGTGGACATTGGCCCGGTCACTAGGTGAAACGAAGGAGCTACCCCGTCAATCACCCAATCCCAGCCGAGAGGCTGCGGCGGCACCGTCTTTGCACGCGTGTAGAGCGTACCACCGCCATAACCAGCCCATGCATCGTTCCTTGAGCAGGTCTGACTCGTGTTAAACAGAAGATGTTGTGTAATGCAGGCATGCAGACCGGTAGGACAGACTGCTGTGCTGCGGCAGGTGTCCGAGCACACTACACAGCTCACAAGTCACAAGCAGTCCCTCTTCAGACCGGGAGCTGCCCCCTGTAGTAGATTAGGACCTCAAGGTCTCCAGAAACACGATAGCAGCACTTTCAATTGCAAGCTAGAAGCTGTCACAAGTGCAAGCTTTGCTGTGAAGGAGCAAAACCAAGCTCGGGGTCGTCCTCGTCGCCGTGGTCCAAGACATACCAATCATCCTGAGGGTGTGTGGAAGGCGCAACGCCTGATAGTCGCACGTTGCCTGAGCCTAGTCCAACCTGGTAGTGCAAGTACTCGTTTCCATGATTCTCCAACTTGCCCGGCGGCTTTGTTTGAACAAAGCCTGGAACGATCTGCAATGGCTCGCGCTGACAACATCCGAAAGAATGCGGCATGGTGGCGCAACTGAACTTGGACAGCTAACCTGCTAACTGAATTCTGCAGAGTCGAGGAGCTCTGGACAGTCGATCGGGAGATGAACTCGCCGTCCACCTCGTTAATGCGCCTGAGAAGTCCACTCAAGTGGGCCTTGTAGTCTAGGTCTAGAGTCTAGAGTCTACGTCGGCCGATCTGAGTGCACAACCAATTAATTTTCCCGACAAGTCGACCGGGTGTGTTTTCCTTCGGTGCCATTCCTGCGGCATCTTGCACACTCTGGAAAGATCAGTAGATTCATCAAAAAGGTCCTTCGAAGAAGTGAACTTGACAGTCGAAGGTGTCAAAGAGAGGGTTCAAGCCTCGAGGATGGGAGCAGTTGGCATCTGCACTTCGCCAGTCTTTCTGTTTCTTGGGGATTCGTGTGAGCCTAAGGGAGCCTGGAGGCTAAGCTTCGCTTCTGCTTGGCTCAGACCCTGGCCGGCGGTAATGTACCATCGTCCGGTCATCTTGGCGACTTCGAAATCCTCCTGCAACGATTGCCGTAGCCATCTTACGTTACTTAAGTTCACGCTCTGACACTTGTCTCCAGGACTCTACCAGCTCTACCACTGCCCCCAGTTTCACAACCCGATGACCGACACCGACTCAGCCGGCGGTTCCGGATATCCTGAGCAGCAAAGAAAAGACTTGAAAGCCACTGCCCAGCTGTCAAGGTCTGCCCTCTTTGCAGCTGAGTGCGCCACGGCCTTTCACTGGATCCCAGTTGGAGTCTCCCGGAACAGGGCCTTTGTCCGGACGCTGCGGGACGCCTCACAGCCCAACATTGTGGACAGATACCCTGGAGCCAAAGCATGCGTAGAACTGCCTGAGGAGGAAATTAGAAGGCCTGTGCTGCCAAGGTGCATTTCTTGGCACTCAGCGCACAGGCATTAAATTGCACGACCGTCTCGTTTTCGAAGTTGTTGCCACAGTTTATCCTCGGCCAAAGCGGAATCAAGACACAGCAGCCGCATCTGGAAGAGTTGTGGTCTGCGGTCATGCTTCTGACAGCTGGACTCGTCCGGGCGCCCGGAACAGGCGATGACGCAAGTCCTGATAGATAGGCCAATTCAAGGTGTGGGGCACTCCAAACGAACATTCAAAGCCCAATCTCGCTAGCCAGAGTCTCGCAGCGCACTGCGCCCTGGACTTCCTGCATTTGGCTTCTTGGCACTGACACTAAGCTTCGGGCAGGTCGGCGGCGCAGCTCGGGTTCAAGATGCACTTCGCCAAAGGAAGCCTCAGACGCCAAAAAAAATCTGCTTTACATTCTTAAGCGGCCTTAGAATCCTACAAGTAGAAGCCTTGCGAAATGTTCACGGCAAGCGGCTGGCACTTGCTCAGCAAACAGGGGGCCACAGCCGCAAGGTTATCTGCAGCCACGGCCAACCCAGGCCTGCCACAAGCTTGCAAGGTAGGATGTATCTTGCTAGAGGACCCGGATTGAACCTCAAAAAGCAAAGGGTCATAGCAACAAGCATGGAAGTTGCCAGAGAGATCAGTGTGGAAGGCTCCACCTCACACGGTTGCATGGGTCCTGGAAGCGAAACAACACTTATGGCAAAGCCGAGCCACGTTGAATTGGGAAGATGGCCCGGCCGGCCGGTGGAGGGGAGCAAATGAATCTGTCGTACCAGTCCTGCGGAAACATTCCATCCAAATCCTCTGCTGCTGAAAGCGCACACAAGTGCACGGCACCCGGCCTGCTCTTCGCAGGCTCGACAGGCCTAGAGTGCCCAGAGGACGAGGACCAGCCACTGAAACCAACCTTGCCCGATTCTTGTGCTTGCATGTGACAATCCCACACCTATCCAGGATGGGCTGGGCGCCGGGACTGGCACGACAACGACGGCAGATAGGAGCAGAAGGCCTTCAAAATGCATGCTCCCATAGAACACGAGACAAAATGTCCCGGGCGGCCTAGAAGGCCAGCGCAAGACAAACGGCGCGGCTGCAAGCTTTTGGCCATGGCGACAAATGGCAGAAACAAGAAGCTTCGCAATGACCCATAACTGTGGCTCGCAGAATCTCACAGGCAAGCATGCCACACTCTTGACAAGCCGTGGATGAGTTTGAAGGTCGTAAGACGTCGTAAGACATCAAAAACGACAAGCCGCACGTCGTTGGCAGCGGTGACAAGCTGGGCCAAACAGCTGACGTGCGCACTGCAAGTCCGGCAACATCCGGTCCAACCCTTGCATCTCAGCCTGCATAAGCACATCGTGAAACCGTCCGAACATGCCTGATGCTGGGCATGTTCGAGCAGCTGCAGCCTCGCACGCCATGCGCCTGAACGCAATCCCTGCCGGTTGGAAATAAGGATGATACCAATGAGCGACAGCACGCGCCTCCGCTGCTCACGGCGATCTGTGCCGAGGCCAGACCAGTTTCATCAGGTGCCTGCAACATGCAGGGAAATGCGGAAGGACTCCGACGAGCAGGCTCTCGTACACGGAAGCGGCCTCGTTCTTGGTAGGGGCAACAAACAGCCGAACCTAAGGCTAAATTCAAGCACAGCAGCACTGCTTGCACGAATCTTGCTACGAGCAGCAGCGAACTGCCATGGTCCGGAGCGCTCGAAGGCGGAAGCAGCCGAGTTGAAGCAAATGCCTCGCATCGTCGGAAAAGCTTCCGCGAACATGACAAATCACACGAAGAAGCTGCCACAGTAAGACTGGCTAGACATCATTATGCATTCGCTCCTTCTCTTGACTCTCTGATCTTTCGTGAACCCCGGCCCGTGCAGTCTGAAGTCGGGTGAACCCCCAGCTCTGCCGCGGTATGCCGGCCCACCTTTTCTGGAGAGACTCAACACATGCCAAGAGGCGGTCAGCGTGGCCCCGGAGCCGTTGACACACAACCAGCGCCTGTGTCCACGCTTGGCACTGCATCCGCTGCTCTAGGCTCTGCCGGCCCAGTGCCTGTGTCCACACTCCTGCTGCTGAGCAGGCCTTAGGCATGCGGTCTGATTGACACGATTTCCACAAGCCATCCAGTCAACAGCTTTGGCACAGTCCCTGAATCCGAATCATGCCCAAATCCGAGCTGCGGCAGTGAACGATGACGCCGATGCGAGGTCACCGTGACATCTCCACGCGAACTGTCAAAACTTTCAGCAATGAAGTCGAGCTTGCTTACTTGCTCGCTCTTTCTCTCCCTCGCTCGCTCGATCCCTGACAGTCAGTAATCTCTGTCGAAAAAACTTCGGCCTCCGCCAGTGCATGCTGCCACTGCGAACGCAGTAGCGGTCTCCGAGCGACTGCATCCAAGGTCCTGCGTCGGGACGTCTTCTGTCAGATTAGAGAAGAAACCCGATTGAGGAGAGAGCCCATCCTATCGGGCTAAGTCGTGCTGCCAAGCAACACACCCTGCAAGGACAGCTCTCGGAATAGGGCGACTGTTTTGGGCCAATCTTCCTGCCCAGGACAGGGTGTAGTGCTCTGCTAACCTCGCGAGTTGATTCCGGTGCCACATACTGTGCAGCAGCCCTGTGCGGGATTCGAACTCCTGGCTAACTCCCCGGGTATTATGGCTTTGTTCGGACATCCGGCGTGCCTGTGGCAGGCTGCTGAGCACCACATGGACATGGATGGCGTTGCATTGAACCTCAGCATCGACAAGCCTGGCGTCACTGCGGCGAAAGACATGCCTAAGGCTGATGCTCCCAGCAGCGGCAGACTTTGTAGATGGTGCACTGCAAGCTGCCAGCGTCGCCTGACGGCTTGACCAAAGCACACAAGACCACAACTAGTGTGCACTCACACGCGTGCGGGTCCCGTACAAGGTTCGTGTGAACTCTGTACTGATTCATTGGATCTGCTCTGTGATCGGCTCTGTGATAGGGATTCGGACTCGGTCTTTCACATCGTGACCCCGGCTGGAAAATAAGCTGCAACATGTTGCAACCAAGGCACAGCTGTTTGCACAGGTGTAGCACCGATGTCTGACCTGAGTGTGGCGCTACAGTCCCTCCGATCACTCAGCACTCCTACAGCGGCAGACAGCCGCATGCTTGACACATGTCTGTACCATGCGCACGCACAGACGGAGACAGGCAGACAGACAAACAGACAGGCAGACGGGCCGGATTGCCGGGCCGGATTTCTGTTCTCCTTGGTGTTCTTTTGAAAGTTTTACAGTTCCACATTCCTGGAACCGAGCCTGCGAGAAAGCAGATTTCGAGACGATGAACCCAACTAGATCGGGCGCCCAAGCTGCAATGCGACGTCCACGGGGCACACCTACTGTGCGGGTACAGGGTCCCTCGTCAGCGACCCCATCCACTCAAGCGCCTTGGCTTTGTTCGCGCGACTCGGAGGCTACTGCGGGAGCAAAGAGCACTGCACCGTCTGCACCGTCTATGGCGGAGAACGACAAGCTTTCCAATCGTACACAGACACAGAGGCCGCAGATGACAATCACGTCCCCTATTACCAACCCCATTATCAAACTCCCGCCCCTCAACCCTCCCGATCCCCTGTCCACCTTCTGCTGTCAATGTTTCTCTATTGTGGGCCGAAACCGCTGGACTTGCAGATGATGTTGCATGTTACACGGTTTGCGGAAGCACGGAGTGACCTGGCTGCTCTTGTCGTATCTGCTTTTGTTGCGGCAGTGCAGCAACAGCCGAAGACCTGGCTACTGAAGCGATTTGCACATCTCGGCGCTGCACCGACAGCGTCGCCAGGGATACCAGCATCTGCTCCCAGGACAGAAAATGCTTTCATGCGCATCGGTCATGACCCACACGAGCTTTCTGATCATAATTCGCACAGCATGCGCTAAAAAGAAGTGCAATGTATGGCGAGCACAGGCATCAACCCCACAGCTGTTGCACGAGCATTTCCTCCTCCAAATGCTTCGAATGGCCAAACGAGCAATCAGCTAGTCTAATGGCTTGCCTCGTCCCTCTGTTGCAGCCTGAAGGGCCCTGCCACAAGACGTAAAACACCGGCAGCCGCAGAGCAGCGAGAATGCAGAAGCACGCTGGTGCGGTCAGATGAAGTTGAGCGCTTACTCACGGCCTGTCCCCGCCTCAACCAGTGCATGGCAGATGCTGCAGCAGACACAATGATGTTGAAGCCTTGGCATTTTAGCGCAGTGCGATGATTGAGGACACTTCCGGACTTCCGGTTGTTGGACGCCGATATGCGCAACATCCCGCAGCACTCATGTCGGGGCCGACGCTCTTGCTCCGTCAGGAAGGAAGCAACTTCGTTTGACTGCATCAGGTGCTTCAAGGCGCCGGCTTGCCACCGCGGGCTCAATTCCGGCCTAAATCAACAAGGAGGCACAGGCATGTCAGCAAGTCCGCCACTCGACCCTGACTCCACCGGAGCATTGGAATGGTTGAACATCCTATAACATTGCAAGCTGCAGTTATAATTTCGCACAAGACTCCGAGCCTGCTCCATGCGTGCCAACACTTTGGCCACCTGACCCCATCGTCCGGCTCGTGCCCAGCGTGCCAAGGCATCGAGGTGAGGCCGCCTTGACAGACATAATCTCACCTCACCTTGTTTCGGTGGAACAGGCTTCTAGATGTCTTCCATCTGTTTCGCTATGCTATTCCCGACGAAAGATACTTCGCCCGCCCTGAATAGCTATTGCTGTCAAACATTTCGAAATTTTCGACTTGGATCGACGTCGTTCGCGGAATACGTCCACCCTTCACACTACAACTCTCGGCTTCGTGGCTCGCGGCCCAAAACGCTGTCAGAATTGCAGATCCTGGCTGCGATTCCCACAACTTAAGCTTAGTGCACCTGCAAAATCATTCTCATACGCCCCCGGAACCTCAGATTGACAAAGGCCCGGCGAACCAACTCTAAGCACTCCAGCCTCGAGCACGGGCGATTCACCGCCGAGCTCTTTGTCCTGCCGGATGCAGCACGGATTTCGACCCTTGGATCTCTCGGGTCTTGGCCTCTGAGATTGCTAGCTACGTGGCTATCAAATGCTCATCTGACCGGTGATATCACAGAGCTCCTGGGCAACTGCAGGCCCGGCGAGGGCATGGAACCGCACTACCGTCTCACTACCGTTCCTGTGCATTCAGGGCTCTTGCGTGGCCAGTGAGCTTGTGCATCTGGCGCTGGTCAGGAGCCGAAACGTTTTGCGCAGGATGTTGCGGCATGCAGGAGCTTTCAAGGAGAGTGGGCTTCCGATCTTGGCAGGTGCGACATCGGCCGATCTCACACCAGAAGCAACAGCTAAGCAAGGTCGGAAGTTCGGAAACACCTCTGCCAATCCGTCCAGAGCAGCGTTGCGCACACTGGCTGGCCAGTCCTGCGCGGCAAAGCCAAAACAATGGCCCTAGTAGCCCCAACCGAGCGAAGCAAAGCCTGAACCCCCATCAAATACAGTATCACCCCGCTCCTGCAGGCTGGAAACGAGCACCTGCAGGGCGCGCTCATCACCTCCAGCCACAACAGCACAACCTCAAACGGCCTTGAGGGAGCAGCTTCGGCATGGTGGCCCTTTCACACGATTTCTTTCCCAAAACTTCTGCGAACTCACCCAGCGAAGGCTCTGCACAGCTAATTAAGCTGCTAATGCCGCAGCTGGCATTGGACGCGTGAGAAGCCTAAGCACAGGATGTCGAGTAATATACACAGTTAGTGACAAAAGAATATGCGACCTGCAACGCCGGGAATCAGAAGCAGGGTAAACCTCCCTTCCGGTGCGCCACAGCTTTCATCACGGAGTAGAACTCCTCGAAGTCCAGGTGGCCGCCCCCGTCGAGGTCATGATCGGCCAAGAGCTTCGGGATTTCATCTGGACTGACCTTGATGCCATTGAACAGGAAGCAAGTGAAGAGTTCACCCTGGTCGATGGAGCCAGTTCCGTCACGGTCGAAAAGCTTGAAGACGCGCGCCGCCTCGTTTCTCTCGTCGAACTCTTCCGACGGATCGAAGTCATCTTCGACATCTTCCCCCTCGTCGTCCGTAACCTCCTCGTAATCGACATCATACTCTCCCTCCTGCTGGTAGTTGTAGTTGTTACCGTCGTCCGGATCTGGCGTGAAGTCCGAGTCTGTAAGGCCAACGATACAATACTGACCCAGGAAGTTGAAGTCCGAGTTGCAAATGTAATCGTATGGGACATACCCATAGCCCCGATCACCCCAGGAGGTGCCCCAGCTGTTGCGGACAATGAAGCATTCCTGCGAAGATACGCAATTGGGCGCTTGCCCAGCACAAGGAAGGTCCCTCCCCAAGTCACCAAGTCAGCCCGAGCCTGTCTGTCATTGTAGCCCACGATAAGCATTGCGTGGAGCCCGTGCTCCGAAGACTGGGGGTCTGAAGGATCCGGGGTCTGGATGCCACCGCCAGGGAGTGGCTTGAAAAACCTCAAGTGCCACGAGTCTGCCAGCATCGAGTTTCGGCGGCTTGCTGAGGCCCATGCTGAGCAGTCAACTTCAAACCGAAAACAATGGGATGCCCTGGCACGGGGCGACTATGTGTAGCAGCGGCTTGGATAGTCGATCCGTCGGGGTTGCAGCGACAGCTAACAGCCCACGGCTTGATCCATGTGACCCTGCCTTCAGCCAGACACTCCCTCATAGCATCAAGATCCACCGGGACTTGTTTGGACTCGGCCACCTTGAACTTGACCTCGAGAATGTTTGTTGATACAGGAGACCTACAACTCGCAAGTAGTACACAGACCTGGCTTCGGCCATCCACGACATATGCGCTGGAGGTGAGCAGGATGCACTGGCAAGTCCATGTCATGTGTCCTATGCTTTCGATGTCAAGATTTCGAAGAGGCTATGTGCTGCATCCAGAATCTCAAGAAAAATGCGAAACTTCTAGAGACACTTCAACTGCCCTGAGGCTGCGACGGCTTCGTCGAAGCAGGCTCGGCTGGGCTGGTCGTTCACGCGCGATAGCTCAAAAGGCCAGTTCTTCTCAAGGCAAGCCCCTTTCCTGAGATTTCAGGCTTCGGCCACCAGCACGTTTTCGTTTGCGGTCGAAATGAAACGAGTTTCAGCTGCAGGGCACTGATGGCCCCTCCCAAGGTCATGCCTTCGTCCTTGGGCTGGATCGATGTATCCTCCGCAGCACGGCGGAAAGTCAAGACACAGCAGCCCAGAGAAGACAGTGCCCGCCCACCTCGTGGAATGACATCTGGTCCTTCTTCCGTCCCACATAATAGATAAACATCCGCGAAATGTCTGCCGTGGTATCCCCAGTTTGCATGGCATGTCTCTTGTTGATGTACCTGGAGCGAAAGCTGACGCGGCACAGCGGTCATGAGTCATGTGGTTGTGCGCTTGTGTGTCTGTGCGCACTCGTAGGCTCCCGCCACGGCATTTGCGCAGCAACTGTTGGTCTGAGACTGATCCTCACATAGACAGCAATTTCTGGTGACTTCAGTTCGTGGAACCCGGGCACATGTCAACCTGACAGGGAGCGTCCTCCACATGCGTCATGTACTTGCGCAGATCAACCTTTTCTGGAGTCTCCTTAGATCGCTTCCGACAGGTGGGACCCTCCCTTGCCCTCGCACCTGTCCACAATCGATCAAGTGGTGTATAGATATACATATATATATATATACATACATACATACATACATACATACATACATAAATACATACATACATACATACATACATACATACATACATGCATACGTGTGAATGTATTCATATATAAACATGAGTATGAATGTATGTCTGTATGTATGTATGTATGTATGTATGTATGTATGTATGCACGTACGTACAATATATATATATATGTATGGTGCCCCCCCCATCCCCCCCAATGGATCCACCCTTTTCGCCTTCCAGGTACGCGACGTCGAGCACGATTG